CAAAAATTTTTTCACAGAAAGAGTAGTCAGGCACTGGAATAGGCTGCCCAGGGAGGTGGTTGAGTCACCTTCCCTGGAGGTGTTTAAAGATCATTTAGATGTAGTATTGGGGGATACGGTTCAGGTGTGGACTCTGTCGAGGAGGGTTATAGGTTGGACTTGATGATCCCAAGGGTCTTTTCCAATCTGAATGTTTCTGTGTTTCTATGTTATATGATCCATGAACAAATACAAACAACAACAATTGGAACTTACATGACAGTTCATAGCCAAACAATTTCACAAGCATTCAGTCATTATTCACAAACTTTGAGAGCAACAGCAGAAAATACAATGCTAGATAGTGAAAAATTCTTCCGTGTTCAGATAAACTTCTGGCACTCTAAACCAGCTGCTGCCAGCTTGAAAAAGACCCAATCAATAATCCTCCATCCCAAAATTCACATACAAACCCCTCACCTATTTCCACCCTACAGCAGCACTTCAAGGGGTCAAAGTATTTACTCAGCTACCATCCCACCTCTGCACACGAACAGTAAAACTGGGTGTTGGGGTTGTGGCAGGAGTAGGTCCCAGGTGAGCAGAGGCAGGTGGCAATGACCAGTTGAATTCTTCAGCTGCAGACGGGCAAACGGGCACTGAGATTTTGGGCAGCTGCTCCACCCAGACATGGGCCTCAATGGGGTGCATCCCTGTGTGCTGAAAGAGTTGGCTGATGTTGTGGATGAGCCGCTCTCCATCATCTTTGAAAGATCACGGAGAACGGGAAAGGTGCCCGAGGACTGGAAGAAAGCCAATGTCACTCGATTCTTCAAAAAGGGCAAAAAGGAGGACCCTGGCAACTACAGACCAGTCAGCCTCACCTCCATCCCTGGGAAGATGATGGAGCGGCTCTTCTGAAGAACTATCTCTAATCAATTGGAAGAAAAGAAGGTTATCAGGAGTAGCCAGCATGGATTTACCAAGGGGAAATCTTGCCTGACTAATCTGATATCCTTCTACCAAGGTTTTATCAAATGGGTTGGTGAAGGGAGAGCAGTGGATGTCATATACCTTGACTTCAGTAAAGCTTTTGATACTGTCCCTCATAACATCCTCGTAGGTAAACTCGAGAAATATGGGATGGATTGGACAGTGAGGTGGATGTGTACTGGCTCATAATCAGAGTTCAGAGGGTTGTGATCAGCAGCACAGAGTCAAGTTGGAGGCCTGTGGCCAGTGGTGTTCCCCAGGGATCAGTGCTGGGTCCAGCTTTGTTCAATATCTTCATCCATGACCTGGATGAGGGGATAGAGTGCACCCTCAGCAAGTTCACTGATGATATGAAACTAGGAGGGGTGGCTGACACACAGCAAGGCTGTGCTGCCGTCCAACAGGATCTGGACAGGCTGGAGAGCTGGGGAAAGGGGAACCTCATGAAGTTCAGTAAGGACAAGTGTAGAGTCCTGCATCTGGGGAGGAATAACACCAGGCACCAGCAGAGATTAGGGGACGTCCTGCTGGAAAGCAGCTCTGTGGAGAAAGACTTTGGAGTCCTAGTGGATAGTAAGTTGTCCATGGGACAGCAATGTGCCCTTGTGGCCAAGAGGCTCAATGGGATCCTGGGGTGCATTGAGAAAAGTATCTCCAGGAGGTCTAGGGAGGTTCTCCTCCCCCTCTACTCTGCCCTGGTGAGACCACACCTGGAATACTGTGTCCAGTTTTGGGCTCCTCTGTTCAAGAGAGACAGGGACCTAATAGAGACAGCCCAATGGAGATCTACGAGGATGATTAAGGGACTTGAACGTCTCTCCTGTGAAGAGAGACTGAGAGAACTGGGGCTGTTTAGTCTTGAGAAGAGAAGGCGGAGAGGGGGACATATTAATGTATAGAAATATCTGAAGCGTGGGTGTCAAGAGGAAGGGGGCAGTCTCTTCTCAGTGGTGGCCAGTAATAGAACAAGCAATAATGGGTTTAAGTTAGAACATAGGAAGTTCCACCTCAACATGAGGAGAAACTTCTTTATTGTGAGGGTGACAGAGCCCTGGCACAGGCTGCCCAGAGAGGTTGTGGAATCTCCTTCCCTGGAGACATTCAAAACCCGCCTGGACACGTTCCTGTGTGGCTGCCCTAGGGGATCCTGCTCTGGCAGCGGGGTTGGACTAGGTAATCTCTAGAGGTCCCTTCCAAGCCCTAACAGTCTATCACTCTATGATTCTATAGAGAGGACCAGAAAAGGTCAGGCTGGATTAGAACTCTGTAGGAGAGGGAAGGAAACAGTGTTTCCTCTTTTTAGAAAAACACCACAAACTCTGAGACTGACCACATGAGTGAAAGCCAAGATCTACTGCTGATCATGGCCAAAAGTGGATGGATAGGATGAAGAGAGAAACTTTTTGCTGGTAGTTTCTTTATATACAAGCTTTCAGCAGTTCGTGTTTCACTGGGACTTTCTGAACCACATGTGGTCTCTGAGAATTTCACAATTCTCAACTGGCTCTGCTTCCAGGAATTTGTTCAGACTCCCTCAGGCTTCTACGTGTATCTAAGGAAAACATTACTATTGAAAATATAAGAATTCAGTTGGATTTAAGACATCCTATCAACAAAACTTTGCTGAGATGATCAAATAAATAATCAGAAAAATACTGCATAATTCACTAATTGGGTGTTTGAAATGAGTGAGTGCAATCTTTTACAGAATAATGTGATGCTGTCATGCTGGGGAAAAAAAAAGTAGAAAAGAAGAGAAATATCAGGACAATACTGTACAGTTTAAAAGTGTCTGAGAGATTTTGCATTTACTGTCTGTTCTAGAGAAGTCAGATTTCATCTTTCTTATAAAGGAAACATTTATACATAATGGTAATGCTACAAAAGATCTTTAATCTTTCAATGATCCAGAAACTTCAAAGGCTTCGGATATAAAATTCCTAGGATTTCTGACAAGTGTAGGTTCAGACCCTGTAATGATCTTAACTTCAGAGAGAAGACATATTAACATTAAGACGTTGTATTTTTTTTCCTGTTTCGCTTGCAAAAATTTACTTCATACTTCTACACATACAGCTCCTACCTGCTCTGTGTAGACATGAAAGATTGTCAGCCCTTTGCTTAAGATTACAATCTTGTTCCATGTCTCTTCTCTTTACATTCAAAAGACAGCTGCCTTTCCAGGGTGCAATATACAACTGCTCTAGATGCTGGACAGAGTTGGCTTATCCACTCTGCTCCTAAGTTTAGTTTGCTTACCTAAAATGAAGTCAGATGTCAGCCACATCATATTTTTAATTTATAGAATCAGAACTGTCACCCTATCTGCTTATGTTTGTTTCTTCCACACGCAGGACAACATTTTATGAGCATACCTTGCCTTATCTATTCCCAGGGCTGTCATAGTTTGTGTGCCACCCCGCTGGCGTATTCTCGTAGCTGCAGCCATCACATCTTCTGTTGTAGAATATGTATTCAGGAAAAATTCATGGACTACAGTCTGTCCGTACTGAACAATTCCAACCTGAAACACAAAGTTAATGTTAAAAATCATCTACCCTTAAAGCAAACATCCGTCTTCTGCAGGGGGATAAATGTTCATCTGTACCTACAAGCCAGGAAAAGAATTCAGCTCTGTGTGGTTCCCTCAGTATGAAATATCTACAAGCATTTGAGTAAGACTAACTAGAAGACAGTCTCATCAATCATTTTGAATTTTCTAATATTTTTTTAGTAATAATAGGAACAAAGCCCAAAGCAGGCTCAACTCCTTGCTCTTCCTGGCTTGTTGTATTCTGTGCTGCAGCTCTGCTCTCCTCTAGGCCAAGGCAGAGCAGTGCCCTAAAAACCAGTCACAACTTCTCAGAATAGCTTTCCTTATAGCATATGAGGCCATGGGTCACTCACAACTCTCTTGGTTCCATCCAAATATAACATTCTTACATCTAATAGTTTATTTACCCTAAATCTAGACTAGAAACAGCAATGTCATGACAAATCTTGGCCCTCAGGGTGAGGGGAAGACCCAAGTACTTGTATCTTGATGAAGACAACAGGGCAGTCTAGGACATGGCTGTTCTTCCAGTAGGAGGTAAGCCAACTAAGACATCTGACAAGTGCCAGAAGGGACAATGTGAATAAAACGGTGGCTTCTGGAACAGAGAAAGACTCTAGATGACCTCAGCAGGGCCAGTCTTTGTATGAAAGATTAATGGATGGAATTGGAACCTGAGCACAAATGCCTGAGAGAACCTGCTGCAGAAAAAGTGTGAAATAAAAAGATTCATTCATCTCTCTCAGCTTTAATGTTTTGGCAGGTTCCTGACAGCTTTTACTGGGAAGAATCCACACAATGTTCCATTAGCATATTTCAATTTTACATTACACATGGCAATTTATAGGTGCTATTTAGGATAATGCAGTATTATGTGGCATTTATGTCTCACTGATCTACTATTAAAAGCACTCTAGCATTTAGGTACCAAAGATCAATATGACCTCTGGGATGTTTATGCTATCATATTATTTTAAAAAGTGGCTTAGTATGTACTTTGCAATTACTTTATAGGTGCTTTTTCAGGTACTTTCATAACCTCAGATTCTGCACAATGTTTGTTTGTTTATTTGTAGTAGAAGTGTTAGAGTTGGAGAAATCTTTGACACTAAACATTGATATCACAATCACTACAAAAAAAATAGTTACATATGATTATGGAACTATAATTATAATGATTTGTGGCAGGAAAATCTATCCCACTTAATTTCTGTATTCCTTTGAAAATACAGTCATCTCTGGAAGAACCCGCAGAAGCTCAAAATTACAACCCATTGTTCCCTTTTGAGATATTTTAATTCTCTCTTGAAGTCATGTCCTCTTCCACCTGCAGCTAAGAGCATCCAGAAGTTGCATCTTCTCTTGAGCAGCGGACTACTGAATCTGCACAGTGTTTACAGAACAGGCTGAGGCATAGCTTGTCAAGGGTTAGGATTAGGGCTGCATTGGCCACTAAATGGGGTAGATGCTCTCTAACCCCCTCTCCTCTGAAATCCGAAAAGGGAGTAAGGCAGAGAGACTTATGGATTGGAAAAGAAAACTAAAAAAGCTTTAACAAAGAATAATAGTAGTAATACAGAAATAATGGAAGTAATGAACTATATGCAAATATATACAAAATCGATACCAAACCTGATTGCCCCCTGACAGCAATCCCCACTGATGCTGCAGAGCAGGTGCCATCAGGGAAGTCCCAGGCTCAGCGGCAGAGGGGAACCACACACAGGGGCTAGATTTGGAAACTGAAGATTGGGATCAAAGGCAGATAAACAGACTGATTCATCCTTGGATGACGACCATTGCAGAAGAGGGCTCAACCTCTGTGATCTCTCAACTTCCTACTGAATATGATATGGAGTGGAATACTCTTCTTAGTCACCTGTCCTGTCCATTCCTCCCCAGAGGCACAGCCTTTTTCTTTCTTGCGACTCATTTTACTTCCCAGTGCCCTGAACATGTTACACTAGACTCACCAGTGACCTTGGTCACCACAGGAGCAAGTATAAGCAAGAGCCTTCTGCATCCCAGTCCAAGGCAGTAACTGTAAACATCAGGTTTTATCCCTGCCAGTAGCTCACACTGTCTGCAAAAACATGCTGCTGACTTCAGAATGTACAGTCTCTTAAAGAGACTGAGTTGAAAAGTAAAATCATTGAACAGAATTGGTTCTGTTTAGCTCAAACCAGGACAACACTGTATTACCACTCAGAGCAGTCATGTGGCACTGAGTGAACTCGAAGATGGAGATGAAATTTTTAACCCATTCTCTCCAAGACAACTATTTTGTGGTATGCACCTAAAGTGACATACAGCAGAAGCTGAACAGGATGCTCTCAGTCATTAAAAAAGACTATCATTAACTGGTGGTAAACAAGAGGTTTTCATTTTGCTTGGTCTTTTGGAGCAGGAGGAGTGCTTTAAGTATTCTAGGACCACGCACAAGTGTAGACAGACACTACTGTATGCCACAAAGCCTGCCGCTGTGGATTCACAGGTGCCTTATCTGCAGCTTTGAGGATTTTATTGGTACCAAGGATTTAATCACCTCTTGACTGTTATCTGTGTGAAAAGTATCTGCCAGTGTTTCATGATTGTAGAGACCCATGTTGGTGCTGTCATTTTCCTAAAAAAGATTACAGGCTGACATTGAGTTGTATCATTTCCTATTTGAAAGGAAACGTTGTCCATGATCACAGCAAGTAAACATTTTGAGCACTTCCTTCTCAGGAAGTGAATGGGAAGAACATCTGAGTCTGGGAAACTGCACTGTGCTGGATAGCTTGTAAATCAGGAAGGAAGAGGGGCATGTGGTTATCTTATGGGATACAGTTGTTCTGTGGGACCCTTCCCTAGCAATAAGTTTGAAAACACTGGGCACTGACCATCGTGTTCTACATATTTCACAGCATCAAAGACGGGCCATTCTTCAAAATACGGGCAACAAAACGCTTCTCAGAACTGACAAAATACTACTAGGCTGCATTTTCCAGTATCCTACAAGATAACGGAAGCAAATTCACCTTGTAAAATTAGGATTATAGTCTAATAGATAGCAATGATGGCTTGAGGTTTTGCAGCTTTTTAATCTAATGGAAAACTATAAATGACACAACTTCATGATTTAAATATGCCTTTATGGGACAATAAACCTCTTCAAACTGCCAAACTTCAGCAAACCCCTAAGAATTATGCTTACAGGCACTGTACGTTTTGATTTGCCTGCTTAATTTAAACCTGAAAAATGCAATAATACTACACAGACAGACATAATTCTGCTATACTTCAGAAAACTTAATATTTTTTCCCAGCATTACTGATCATAATCTACTGAACATCTTTGTAATTCCTAAGTTTATGTTCCCTTGCCTAGCATTCCATGGCTGTTATAATACACAAGGGAATAATTCTTTAATTGTCTCCAGTTCCTGTGAAGAAGTGTTGTATGAGAGAACAGGCAAGTGGAATTGTAGGAGAGAACAGGCAAGTGGAGAACTGTTCTACTTTGGGACAAAATATTTCTGAGGGCAATTACTTATTATTGTTCTCTAAGTCTATATAGAACCTTATTTGGAAAGTACATTTTGGCTTTCCCAATAAGATATTAAACTAATCTGTCTGGTAAAAACCACCACCACCAATTTCAAAATGAAAGGAAAACCATTTAGTATATGGAAATGATACTCTAGGATTTTTGCTGTTGGCATGTGGAGGAAAATCAGAAATATTTTTGGTTGTACTTAAGTCCTATTTAACACAGAAGAAAAGCAGAGACGCCTCGGGAAGCATTAATGGATAATACATGTTATCATATGCAGAGCTTGCTAAAGATAAGTGAATGAATGCAAAATTGAATTAATTCTGGTACATTTTGCTTGCTCCCAGGGACTCAGACATAAATTAACTTGTAAACTAGTGCAAGGGTCTTTCTTCAACCTGAATCTTTTTCATACCTCTTTAACACATTTCTGTTCTCTTGGAGATAAAACTTATCATAAGAAATGACAAGGCATGACTTATTAGTCCACTGATACCGATTGGGAGATATAATACGGCACAGGCCAAATGCCTATAACTGCTTATGTCGTATATTAGTGGCAAAATAAAACATTTCTGAAAATTTCTGACAGCCATAGCTTTAAAGCTGGAATCGAATATACCAAAGTATTCTGCTTTCTCTTTTTTATATTCTTTTACCACAGAAGGTAAAAGAAGAGGAAAAAACTATCTTGCTTTGCAGTGTGGAATAAGGTCAGGAGAAATTTTTTTTTCCTACTTGTATAATTTTTTCTCATTTTAATTCCTTCTTTCTTTTCCACTTTTCTATCATCACTTTCCTTTCACTTCTTTTATCCCTAAGCTTGGGAAATGCATCATTATGGTGTAGTGGATTTTCTGGAGAATGGCAAGAAAAGGGAAGGAAACACTTCTGAAAAAATTATAGTGTAAGCTCCGTCATTTTGCATCTGAATCTTCTGGCTTGCACTTTCAAATCTGCCAAACATGAGACACTGAGGAATTTCTCTTCTGACTTGTCACAAAGCTAATGACCATTGTTCATGGAGCCAGTAAGTAGAAAAAAAATAACTTGCAAGCCTCTAATCAAAACACAGTTTTGAACAAGTCGCACCCAAGCTGCTAAGGAGTTATCCTGTAATCACATCATTCCTTTCTCATGCAATACAAAAACAATTTGAAGTCTGTGAAAGTCTACTGATTTCTCATATGCTCAGCAATCTCCAAAAGATGAACGTGGAAAAATTAATTTAAACAAACAGAAGGTAAACACTTGTTCTTGTATTTCTATTCTGTGCTGCCAGAGGAGAGGGGAGAAACAAGCCTGCTCTGTCATTTCTCCTCTTCCCCTTTCAATAATCTGTTGAAATCAGATTCTGAGAAAGAAGATAGTGTGGGTGGAAGAGATGATACAACCTTTTTACTACCAGGGTTCCCAAACTGGAGGCTTGGAGGAGACAAGAGAGATGGAATAAGTTCTGAGGAGGGGGAGAAGGTAAGAGGAACTGAGAAAATTCCACCTAGGTTTTGTCTTCCAGTTCCAGCTTTTTTTCTCCTCCTTATTCCAATCTTATCTCTCTCTCAAATGTTTTTGCTCTGTAGCAACCAGATGCCAAAGCTGACATTCTCAAGTGAATACGTGTACATGTGAGAAGAGGGGTGGCTATGCCAAACCACGGGTAGAATGGATTTTGTAGGTCGAGATGGCAGGCTGCTGAAGTGTAGGCCCGCAAGGGGCCTCTCATGCATGAGCGAAGCCACGCAGACAAGGCAGGATTTCAAAAAACAAACTTAAGAGAGGTGTGGCAATGTAAAAAATTTAGGAATTGCAGGGTGAGGAAGAGGGGTGAGGGTGTAGTAGAGTTGATTACCCTGTGTACTATTCACATGAAGCCCTTTGGTAAGAAAGCAGTGGTGATTTCCACGGAGCCATTGCCTTGTCCTGGGAAATTCAGGCTTAAGTATTTTCCCAAGGTGGCACATGTTGGAGTAATCTCCATCTTAAGAGGCTTGGAAGATTTTCTTAATTTTGATTCTTTTCTGTTAAATTTGACAAAGTGTTTTTCCTTCTTCCTTACAATATTTGGAAGAACACTGTGTTTAAAATAGGAGGATGTGATTGTAAAGTGGACAGTTTATAAGAAATAATTTTATTAGCCTGTACAGGCAACAGGGCAGTTGTGTGGTAACTCACGAACCCCAATTAACTTGGAAAATGAAAGTGATATACTATGCAGGCTGAGGTAGCTTTTACACCTTCTCACAGTCTACTTTGGGAAGGAAGGAGCTGAATATTGAGAGCCCTTAGCTGGGGTAATTGGTTATAGCTTGGTTAATTCTGGTGGAATCATGCTGATTTATAGCAGCTGGCAATTTGGCCCTCTCCACTTATTATATATGCAGCTTCAGCCATTAATAACATGAGGCTTAACAGCCACTTGTTAATTATGATTTCAAACGTTTAAAAGCTGTCTGCTCCACAGTGCAAAACACTGAACATTGCTCCAAAAGGTTGTCTGAATGTGTGCCTCAGAGGAGAAATGACCTTCGTGCTTCACAGTACAAAAGAAGACAGGATGTGGTTGTGGAGAGGAAGGAAGTGGGAAAGGACAATGTTCAACCAGCCTCACTTAATGCACTTAAGTTTTGCCTCTGTGTTAGAAAGACGGTTTCTTCAAACTGCCTGAGCAGTGGGGGGAGGAAGAACCTCCCTGACATCACTGCTTGTTGACAGATGCTGAATTAGCTGTGGTTTCAGCTATTTTGCTTTAGTACCCCATTGCCATAAATTCTTGGGATTGAAGAGCTCCCTAGATGATGCTCTCATCCCATTTCCTCTAAATCATTTTTTTTCCTCACAGATTAAACAACCATAAAATATCTAATGTCTTACCTGTGTTTGCTGAGGACCTATATCCATGTTTTTCAGGAGGCTCTGTAGGAAGCTTGTGACACTATCCCACGGATAAATGCTGTTGGACCCATCAAGGACTATGACGATGTCTAACTGGGTTTTACATGCTGTAACATAAAATTGCCACATAAGAATTGATACTAACAAAGCTCCAGTTACTTTTGTGATTAGTAGCAAATGCTTGTGATTAGTGGGCATCCAGTGGGGCTGGGCTGCTCTACTTGATGCCAACTGTCATTCATCAACTTTTGCATTGTATTTCACATGGTTTGTGTTCTATTTATGACCAAGGCATTCAGTTGTAAGCAGAAATTTAAGAATGAGGTTAGAAGATCAAAGAGCGAGTATTTACCAGTGACCGCTACCTTCTTCAATGTCAATCAGTTCCTTTTTGATTTTTTAAAAGGACCAAATCTTTAAGATTTTTATCTGTATTACTAAATTGTTTTTGCATTTGGTCTGAACATGTCGTCATTATTTAAAAATAGTCTTTTGGCCATAAGTAAAAAGCATAAGCAACTATTTTTAGCAATTTTGTTTGGATGTTACATAGCACTTAAATGATTGTTTATACTGAGATAAATTCCAAAAGTAGCAATAATTTAGGTTATATATGGACAATGAAAAACATTTACTTAACTTGGTAATGCTGGTAGCTAAGTTAAGCAGTGCATATTTTTTGGTATGCCTATGTGTATACGTTTGTCTTGTTTGACACTGTATTTTTTGATACATAAGAGAATTCCTGTGGCTGGCATACCTTGCACAGATGGGGCAATTGCCTTGGTGGTTTCAAAAGTTGAGCTGACATTAGAGCAAACTCCAGTCGTGTAGTGCAAACGCCCACATTTATAAGCGTAAAGTGGTCCACATGCCTTTAAGAGATGAAAAAGGGTGAAACGTTTCTACTGCAGTACCTGAGAAAATAACAGACTTCTTTTAAAATGGACAAAAAGTGTCTTCTTACCAGAAAGCCTCCTTTTGGGTTAGTCACTAAGGTTGTTCCAAGAGTCATGTTTTCTTTTACTTCCACGATGTTAGGAACTGAAGTAACCGCTATAAATAGATTAAAATGCTAAGTATTTGGGAACATAAAAACAAAATGTTGAAGTATATATCCCCTAGCATGGAGCTTCCAGCTTCTAAAATAAAATCCAGACTGACTCTGGTTTCAGAAAATATTTTAGCACCCTTCCTCCTCCTTCTTTGATTGCAACAATCAAGAAAAATTTCTGAGACTGGCTTTTATCCCAGAAAACATGTCTGGGTTGCTGTTTCAAATAGTTTTCTTGAATCGCAAAAAGGAAAAACAGTAAAAAAACCAGCACAATGAAAAAAATAGATCACCATTCACACGCTTTTTTTGACTAGAAAACGAACTTTCATCTTTTTACCTTGTACTGTAAAAAATGACTTACCAGCTTTTATATTTGTTACTGTCATGTTACATTACTGACATGTAGGTTTTCAAGAGAAAAGAGGACATAAAAAGTACCACAACAGGTGTATTTAGTGAAATAGATATTAACAGGAAGTCTTGCTGTCTACATTGCATATCTCTTGACATGAGCAAGTAAATCATTGCTAATTACCTATATCATATTAAGATGCATCAGCTTGGCTCTGCCTAGCTACATTTTCATCAAAAGCTTACTGATGGCATTATGAAGGCTCTTGTTGGCTTTAGAGAGCTTTGGAAAGTGTAATCCATGAATCTATGCTCTGTGGCCCTTTCTGGCTCCATGGCCAGGGCTGTCAACCACAGTCAACTAATGCCAGTCGTAATAAAGCTGCCCACAGTAAAATCATGAGCAAGTTTTCCATAGGACAATGAGAAGCTTTGAAATTATTTTTGATGTTACAAACAATACTTCCGTCACATTCACCTATGGACTGCTAAGTAAATTTTCTCTGTAGAAACAATTCTAATGCATATTTACCAGCTAAAACTATCGTAAGATCTATCTTTTTTATTCTTCAATATGACACGGCTTTTATTTTCTTTCATACCTGGTAAGTTCAGTTTTGTGCAGGGCGACTGGATGTCCCTTCCTACAGGGCATTTGTATACATCTCCTGTTCTTTTCTCAGGCTGGCCAACTAGAGGTGAACCAATAAGTATCCTGCAAATAAAATGTTACCTGAAATTTCTTCTTTCTTAAAAAGCACAAAAGTCAACAAATAAAACTTACAAAGAGAGCACAGCTGCAGCAAGCTCCATACTAGGAGTACACGATGCAAGCTAGAAAAGTATCTAGTATATAGTATATAGTATATAGTTCAGACACAAACAAAAGTGGGCATTCTACCTGCTCTTTAACAAGGGCACAGGAAGGAAAAGGGCCTATATACCAAATTACAACACTGGATAATATAAAAAAAAAATTCCAGTGGAAAATATAACAATATTGGTGGATGGATGATAAGTATTATAAGTAATACAGAAATAAGTATCTGTTTTATTTAATATATCCTTCATCTTTAATATATTTTAGAAGAAAATGTATTTTGAGACCAAATGCCAGAGAGGCTCACAAGTACACAGAAAAAGAACCCAGTCTTAATTAATGTGAGCTAGTCGTGTTAAATACAGCATTTTTCCTCTTTATGATAAAAATAATGTTATTAAAAGGGTTATTGAAAGAAATTTCAAATTTTTGAATGCTAAGATTTTTTTTACTCTGTGGGTTTTTTTTTCAAAATTTGATGTTATAAAAAATCACTATTCTCATATAGCAGTTCACAGCCACTACAAATTAGCATCCGCTCCTAAAAAAAACAGCAGGAAATGCTGTTTAGAGATGAGCACTGTTTTTGTACTCGAATCTTTATTAGCTATACTAAATAGACAAGCATTACCTAGCAGATAGCAACCAGCTCCATTAAATGTGTAAGGAAGAACTTGAATTAAATTACAATTCACAGCGCACACTAGAAACAGAAATCCTGCCATTAAGAGTAATTTTCAGGAAGATTTACTGCTGGACACTTATATGATTGTGAAGATTTATTGAGAGAACCATTTCAACCTTTAATCATAAATTAATGACTCCAGGCAGAACATATTTGAGTAGAATGACATAACAATTAAAAGGTAGCCTATGGATTAAAAAAGGACAGAAAGGAGAATTTAAAGCCAATATACAATCCAGCTTCTAAAAAACCCATACTGGAATAGCTCATTGTGACCCACTGAGAATTTTTCAATGATAAATTAACTAAGTCTAAAGCAAAATAAAATGCTCCAAGTACGTACTGGATCCAAGTGCTCTTTCAATCTATACTCTGTAACGTAAGTATTTTTTACCTCAAAACTTAGAAACATGCATCACAGCCTATCATGCAACCTTGACTTCTGGTTAACTGCAGAGAAGCTGAGTGTGCTTGACATACCACGGGAGGTGACCAGTGCTCAGCAGGATCATGTCCTCGTGCTCTTCTTTTCTCAGAAAGAGCAAGCCCCGTGAAGAGAGAGGTCTCAAAGGCTGTTTTGTCTTTTTGCACAGGCGATTGTTTAAAGGCGCCCGTTTTATTGAGAAACAAGCATAGTCAGGTTCAGAGAACATCTGTTGTTCACAAGTTCTATCTGTGGTGTCAAGGTAGCATTATAGCAGCTGATAAAGCATCACAAGGGTGCTTTGTCTATTTTTAACTGTCAACCTACAGATTTCCTGCTCTGGATGTTGGTATGCTGAAAGCCGCTTGAAAGTTTGACAATTTAACAGCAGCTGAGGAGTTTAATTTCAGACATATTCAGATCTAGCACACTAGATTTCTGTCTTTCTTCAGCTACTAGAAAAGTCACCATTTCCAACTCATGTAATTTTTTGCTCCTGAAATGTTTTGGGACAGTTTACAATAATCTAACATACTTTGCAAAATCGCACCTCCCAGAACGGATACCATTTCCTGAAGGTCTAAATTAGCTTGAGGAAGGTCATTATTATTCTCCCATCACCCTCACGCAGATGTGTATTTAAATATCCTACCCCCTGGGCAATCAAGAGCAAGCATTTTCAAAAGCAGCGTCTGCAATTTCATTTCCATTAACATCCCCTGTGTCTAATGGTGAACACCGTGGTGCAGTGGTGGATAGACTCCGGAGTCAGACAGCTTCTGGAAGGCGATTGCTCAGGCACTGCAGGATAGTCTGACCTATTTGACTCCCAAACTTTTTACCATTCAACTGTTATTTCAGTCCTCCAGCAGAGTAGTTAGTCTGTAAAGTTTGTTCTTATAAGGGAAAAGCAGTTACAAGGTGTTTATCAAAAGACCAAGAAGCAGTGACACCAGTAAGCATGCCAAAATGCAACTTCTAATTCAGGAGAACAAAAAGAAGGAAAATACTGGTTAAGAGGAAGGCTCAAAGTTCAAAATGTGAATATATTACCAACAGTAAGACATAACTGGCTCTCTAAAAGGGAAGGCGGAGTACTGTATGAATAAATATTTTGACACATCAGTTAGAAAACTCAGTACAGACAATCTCTGAAAGAAAATTCTAGAAAATAATACATAATTCAGATTAGTTAGGTGAAACAGGAACAATTTTGCTGCCAATATGTTAACACAAGGAAAAGAGAAATAATGATTTTATTTAGTAAATGTGAAAAAGATCAGGCATAACACAAAAGTTTCTCAGCTCCATCAATTAGGGAATTTATCCACTTTGTGAACTCATTTATGTCTTTGAGGATTTGAATGTAAATATATATTTGGGTCTTCCAGTCTCCCAATCTTTCCAAGTTTCCTTAGGATTGCGCATTAGTTTAAGAAGTATATCTGACAGAATCTGACCCTTGCACAATGGGCATACTTAAAAATAATAGCATAGCACGTGAATCACTGAATACCTGAAAATCTGAAGTTTCCATTTAAGAAAATAAAAACATCTTACCATTTGCCTTCCTCATTTTCATACTGTTGGACTGTGTACCCGAACATGTCTTCCAGAGGCCCACTGAAGGTCATTGCATTTTTCACATCAACATTAGAAGAGCCAACGATGTGAAAGAGAGCTTTTTTTTAAAAAAAAACAAACAAACAAAACATGTAGGAATACACATAAAACCCAAGACTTTTAAGAGATCAAGATTCAGTTTTGACTTAACTGGAGGTACAAGACAGGACTTGGGGTATATTTATCACAGGTGGTAAGAGATTTAAAGTGCACTTCCTCACACATACATACACAACTAAATTCAGAGATGTTAGCATCTGGGCTTCTGTATTCAAAACCTGTATATCACAATTCAACTAACATTGAGTAAAATATCATTACCTTTAATAGTGAATACACTGTTCTGTTATTTTTACTTCTTTTAGCTTCATGCACTAATAAAGTAAGAATTTTACAAAAAATGTTCCTCCCTTCATTCAAGGTAGTAGAACCACAGCATCATAGAATACATTGGGCTGGAAGGGACCTTTAAAGGTCTTCTAGTCCAACCCCCCTGCAGTGAGCAGGGTCATCTTTAGCTAGGTCAGGCTGCTTGGAGCTCCATCAAGCCGGACTTTGAATGTCTCCAGGGATGGGGCCTCCATCACAACCTGTGCCACCATCCTCATAGTAAAGAACTTCCTAATGTCTAATCTAAATCTACCCTGCTCTAGCTTAAAAGCATTGCTCCTCATCCTGTCGCTACATGCACCTCCCCAGCTTTCCTGTAGCCCTGTTAGGGTGCTGAAAGGATGCCGTAAGTTCTCCTCAGAGTTTTCTCCAGGCCCAACAACCCCAAGTATCTCAGGCTGTCCTCGTAGGAGAGGTGCTCTAGCCCTTTTGATAGTTTTTGTGGCCTCACTCTGGACCTGCTCCAACAGGTCCATGTCCTTCTTGTGTTGAGGGCTCCAGAGCTGGACACAGCACTGTGGAGCAGAGAGGCAGAATCACCTCTCTCGACCTGCTGGCCATGCTGCTATTGGTGAAGCCCAGGATGCGATTGGCCTTCTGGGCTGCGAGCATGCATTGCTAGCTCATGTCCAGGTTTTGTCCACCAACACCCCCAAGTCCTTCTCTGCAGCACTGCTTTCTATACCTTCACCTGTATTGATACTGGCACTTGCCCCTGACCGAGGTATGGGACCTTGCATTTGGCCTTGTTGAACCTCATGAGGTTCACGTGGGCCCACTTCTCCAGCTTGTCTGCGTCCCTCTGGAGGACATCCTATCTTTCTGGCATATTGACCGCACCACTCAGCTTGGTGTCACCTGCAAACTTGCTGGGAGTGCACTCAATCCCACTGTCTGTCACTGACGAGGAGGCGTAGTAGTTCCTAAGCTTTCGTAAATTTGAGAACCGATTTGCCACTGTTTGCAGAAGACACACAGAGGAAAAGAATTTAATTTTATTCTATATTAGAGGAAAAAAAAGCATATAGTTTTATCGTAATTTTACCCTACAGTACTTGTAAACCATTCATGTTTGGAAAAGAATAGAGCAAATTTTTAATACTACCAGATGCTGTTATATCAAAAGTACCTCAAAAGTGACTGCTTGCAGCAACCAACATCTACAACAGTGGTGTTGGACTATAATGAGATCACTTCTGAGAGCAGATGCTTCTTCAGAGTGATTACCCATATTCTATAGCTCAGTGATCATCATCAGGGAAAATACTGTGAAAATACGACTGTATAGCAAGTTTCAGAAAAAAGAGGTATATAGGGTGAAAACTCCAGCTTAAAGTGATAGTCATAAACCCCCTGTAAGGCTCACTTAGAACCTAAAAATACTACTTATATATTAAAAGTAAGGCTATTTATATATTCTTTATTTTTATTTCCTATAGTGATCTCTTCCATCTTTGTCCTGTTGAGGTTAGATTCAAAAGCAACCAGTGACTCTGCTGCTGCAGAGTGTGTATTTCATTCACAAGAGCCAAAAATTAGTTGAATTTGTAGAACATCAGAACTACTTAACAACACAACTAAACACAACCTTCATTTCAAAGAAGCATTTCATGATCATTTGCTGACATTTAGCAGTTAAATAAAAATACCCAAATCCATAATACTTGCTGCATGTCAAACATCTAAATAATGTCCAATTACTAAAATAACATCTGTGGTTTTTGCCATTGAGACAATTATATTCTAATAGAAAGCATGTTACTATAATTAAGTTCCCAAGTGGCCAATGCTATTCTGTCTCTCTCAGCATCTTATTTCCTGCTTAATGTACTAAATTATCACACAGGACTGTTTATCTCTTAGTTGGTATTTCCAGTTTCACTGGATAGCAAAAAAGGAAAAGTTTCATTTGTGTCGTTTGAGTTCTTCTTCCTCCAGTCAGCGTCAGGAAATATAAAGAATTGAACAAGCTAAAACAGAGTTTATCTTTATTCTTAAGAAAAGACTGATTACAAGTGATCAGAAAAAAAAATCATAGCTGACAGTGTGATGAGAAATAATTTGCTGGAAAAGTAATCCATGCATATTTTATGTTCCTTAAACATTTACGTTTAGAGAAATTCTGCTATGCCTGCTTATGTGCGATAGGTGTTTTCCTCCCCTACTCTCAGTCATCAAAGCATAATTAAAATCAACCAAACTGATTTTTAAAATTATTGTCAAGTTATACCTGGTTCAAATCCTCTTTTGTTAAATTTCATAGTAAAAATAATTGCTATTATTATTTTTGACACCATGTATGGTATTCAGACCATGTCACTTAGACTCCCAATCTACCTCCTTCCTACACAATGAAACAGTTCTAATGAGATTGCTGCTGAAGTAAGTATCTAAGTTTATGATTTAGTTGAAAAAGAAAGGTAGGTGCAAAATCTATCCATGTGGACTCGCCTCTTAAAGGTCTCCAGAATTCTGTTCACTTTAGCCCCTGAATAAGATGGACAGAACATCCTCCTAGAGGTCTGTGGAAGCATGTTTTTTCTCCTTTCTCACCTTATGATAATATTTAAAACATATTATGATATGAAAAATTAAAGGCCACAGATTTCAGCTCATCTCTTCGAATTTACTTTGTCCTAAAGCTACCAAATGTTATACATGCATTCTGTGCTCAGTACACTCTATGACAATATCCTCCATCATCATTCCATCATCTGCTGACAGACAAGAAATTTCTTCACAGTGATGCAGCAGTGACAACTATTGTGGTTTCTATTGTGTACTCACTACACTAAATGGTCGTGAAGTTTCCTGATTCTCTTATGTAATCTACTAAAATTTCCTAATTTTAACAAATAGAATTCTAATCCTCATAGCTATAACAGCAAGTTTTAAAATGTGAAATGGGAAAACAAGAAAACTAGAAGAGGAATAAAAATATGTCAGCTATTTGCTACTACCCCCCTAAATCCTTGTGCTTCTGAGTGAGGTCAGATTAGAACCAGCAATAATAATGTGTTCACCTAAAAAGTAAAGCTAGAGGAATCAAAAGAAGCTAGATGGACTAGACTGATCTGTAATTAAGGGCAAGTGACTCCGCACAGCAAGCAATAGACCTGTAGACCTTGTCGACTAAGGATGTTTTGGATGCTAGTGCTATGTATTCAATGGGTAACTGAGTAAGTTAATGGCAGACAAAACCACTGCAGGTTACAAACCATACGAAATGCACATCTGGCTCAGGAAATCACCTCAGCTGGAAATATCTGGAAACTGGAAGAATATTATATATGCTTGCTAAAGTTATTTTTGTCTCTAGCTATCATCTGACATGTACTCCTGCAGACACCATACTGAGCAAAACATGGTCTTGATTTGATCCAGTATGGCTATCCTTTTGCTATCTCATCTTCCTGTTCTATCTTGGCCAGATATCAGGTGCTTTGATTTTTTACTTCATATAAAAACTGGCATATTTTAATATGAAATGTCTTACATGTCCTTTTGTGGTATCTATGTGCTATGAAACATTATGAGCATAACGTGTTATTTTTTTAAAAGTAAGGGTCAAACTAAGCAGTGTAAGATTAGCTTATAAATAATTAATAGATTTAAAGGTATCTTATTATATTTTCCACGAATTCCCCAAAAGGAAATTTCGCTAGTCAAAGATATGTTCAAATCTGCAGATAGTAAGCAGAAAAGTGGAGTTTACAGTGACCCACATTACAGTATTAAATAACAATAATCTGCTGACTTAACGACAACTTGGCTTTTACATTTTGTTTCATTTTCCAGTACAAAGAACATTGTACTTATGAGGTGACACTTGAGAACATTTAAAAATATCACTGATTGTGACTGTGAAAATGAGACTTTACATTAGTAACAATATCTAGCCTGTACTCTTCCAAACTCCTAGTTTCTGCCTAAGATGCACACATCCTCATCTGTTTCCAGCAAAATTGTGTATATGAATTAAAAATAATATTGGCAGACGTAGTGGGAAAAAAAGAGCTACAGGGAAGTTGGAGAAGATTATTTTGAAAGTTACGGAGATTAAGCAAAAAAAGCACATTTTCTGTAAGGTACGTAGTATTTGACTCTATACTTAATCACAATTAATGTAGGTAAACTAAATTAAATTTTTTAATTATTTCATGTTGTGTTAACAGAATAACTAAAAATACAGATCAGAAATGTAGAATATAATTGTTTATCAAAGGATAAAACTCAAGTTCTACGTTTTAACTTCATGTTCTATAAGAAACAAGGCACTGTAGAAAACCTGGGACAACGTTCCTCTCACTGCTGACTAAAACTGAGAACACTAGCTGATACATGTGGTATTCTTTACTGAGCACAGTTTGTACCTATACGTGAAAGGTTGACACTCAGTCACCACGACAACAACCCAAATATTATTTCTATTACAAACCTAGAGTAGTAGCTCATACTTGTCTAGTAGCCACTAATAAATTTTTTGTATGTGTTATTTAATCAGATCTTTTAACTAAACATTCATGCTGTCTGCCTGCTTATTCTGACTCTATACCGTGCAAAACTGGATATCCCTGGCACTTGTCCACGGGCATATTGCCTGACTACTCTAACCTTTCCAAACAGAGAACTGTAGAATAGGCCCCCTTATTTTCCTAGAACAGATGGATATAATCATAATCCAAGCTATAGAACAAAGGTCAGCACCTAGCCCTGTACTCAGCTTTGGTGAGGCCTCACCTCGAGTACTGTGTCCAGTTTTGGGCCCCTCACTACAAGAGGGACACTGAGGTGCTAAAGAGGGCACAGAGTCAGGCTACTGAGCTGGCAAAGGGCTTAGAACACAAGTTGTATGAGGAAAGGCTGAGGGATCTGGGGCTGTTTAGCCTGGAGGAGACTGAGGGGAGACCTCCTCACTCTCTACAACTACCTGACAGGAGGTTGTAGCAAGGTGGATGTTGGTCTGTTCTCCCTAGTGGAGAGTGATAGAACAAGGGGAAATGGCCATAAGTTGCACCAGGGGAGGTTCAGGTTGGATATTAGGAAGAATTTCTTTACTGAAAGGGTTGTCAGCCATTGGAACAGGCTGCCCAGGGAGGTGGCTGAGTTGCCCTCCCTGGAGGTGTTTAAGAGACAGGTGGATGTTGTGCTGACATGGTTTAGTGGTGTTGATAGGGCTAGGACAAAGGTTGGACTCGATGATCCTGAAGGTCTCTTCCAACTGGAACTCTTTTATGATTCTACAATTCTATGATTCTATTGATGGAAAATACATCGCCACAAATCACCTGAAAAATATGACATCATGAAGACTAATTTAGCCAAGAAAAGAGAGTAAATTTAGTCAGGATATTTTATCTGTGCACGGTCTGTTGCAACTAACAATCTCATTCTCTATGGTTATTCTAAGAAATACAATTGGGAAGGGACAAATTCGCACTTTGCTTTGAACAGCGCTTACACACTGTCTGCTCCCTGTTTCTCCCCACCAGCATGTGGTTAAAGTGTTTGTTCCATTCCACGCTTCCTGCTACAGCATTTTAGGTATCCTTGTCAATTCCTCTGCATTTTGCAAAAAGAGACTGAAACATAGCAGGTATAAGTGCAATCCTTGAGGACAGTACATCAAATAGAAATGTTTTGCAAAAGTATGCGCAACTGGAAAATATCATGAAACTCAAAAAAAGTTATTAGCAAAGAAAAAAACCAGACTGCTTCCATTGTGGAAGATAAAAAAGAACTGAGAGATTTAAATTAAATATTAAAATAAGATTAAAAAATTTTATTGAGTTCTCATATACCTGGACTTCTTGCAAAAATAAATCATAGAATCATAGAATCATAGAATCATAGAATCAGAAAATGGCCTAAGTTGGAGGGGACCTTAGAGACCATATGATCCAACCTCCCTGCCATGGGCACGGACGCCTCTCAACTAGATCATGGTACTCAAGGCTCCATCCCACTTGGCCTTGAACACCTCCAGGGAGAGGGCAGTCACAACATCTCTGGGCAATTTATTCCAAAATCTTGCCGCTCTCGTACTGAAGAATTTCTTCCTAAGGTCCAATCTAAATCTATTCTCCTTCAACTTAAACCCATTTCCCCTTGTCCTACCAGTGGACACTCTTGTTAAAAGTCCCTCCCCAGCCTTCCTGTAGGTTTCCTTCAGGTATTGGAAGGCAGCTGTTAGGTCCCCCCGAAGTCTTCTCTTCTCCGGGCTGAACAATCCCAGTTTCCTCAGCTGTCCTCATAGTAGAGAGGCTCCAGCCCCCGGATCATCTTTGTGGCCCTCCTCTGAACACACTCCAACAGATC